AAATCTTACACATATATTATTCAAAAGAGGTGTATTTTGGTCATGGCTGACTTTTTAATTTCCCCTGTTCTGAGCAAAAGTCCCATGGGACTCATTCAAATTTACCTAACCAGCGAAATTTGAAAGATTAATGCACGTGTAGCTCTCAGAAATCTGATTATTTTAATAACAATTTTAAAATTAAAATCTCAATTATATTTCTACTTTGAAAAATTTGATCCCCACGTGTTCATATTTCACCCAGATAATAAGAACACTAAAAAATTAATATTCCTTCTCTTTGTAAGCAACTAGAATTTTAAAAATATAATACTTCATATTTTGTAATCTTACATCATTTAGGCGGCTATTTTAAACATATGACCACATTTTTACCTGAAAATTTGGTACTATGCTGGTTGCCACTCAGAATTATTCTACAATATATTCTCTTTGCTTTCCAAAGCTATTTTAGAGCCAAAGTGTTGAAAGAACTTGAAGTTGAAATACTGAGAAAGACAACCGTTACAAAACAATATATTGACATGTTTGCATGTATCAGGTGCTTGTGTGAAACTTCCAGGAATGAAAAGGACTAAGTTGAATACAGAATAAATTCCTCCCAATGGAAACATTTAAAAGTGCTGGAAAATTTTTAAGAAATATATTTTAAAAATACATAATCAAGGTTAAAATAAAAGAGCGGCTCCGGGTATCAGAACCAAGGAAGAAACTGAAATATAGAACAACAAGTAGAAGCACACGAGGGCTATTAGTCTTGGATAGAGGCCACAGAGCTTGGGGCTAGGATATCCTTTTTCACATGAGGACAGAAGATGAGGCCTCCAGTATTAGGCAGGCAGAAAACTACAAGTAATTTAACTGAGAGCTTGGAACATCAACTGTTTTTATGAAGAAGAGACTACAAAATCTCTAATCATGGGCCTGGGGAAGTATCAGAATGGAATTAGCACATCAGAGTATTAGTAAGCTACAAACCAGGTCTGAGAAAAGTTACCTAGAATGCCTCAAAAATGATAATTATAGAAATTTAATATGGGGAAAAAGAAGTTAACAAAGAAGGAGGACAGATTAACAAGGTCAAACATATCTTAATAAGGGTTCTGGAAAGAGAAAATTGAGAAGGTGGGGAGATGAAATAGACAAAAAGATGATGAAAAAAAAATTCCAGAATTGTAAAGATGTAAGTTGTTAGATCAAGTGATGAAACAAAGTTTGAAAGTTAAATAAGGGAAAAGGTATATCAGGAAGTTACTAATCAAAGGAAGATGGTATGACAATATTAATATCAGAAAAAAACGGACTTTAAGGTAAAAAGCATTATTATAATGAAAAATAAGCACTAATGAATGATAAAAGGATCAATTCTTCAGGGAGCTATGAATAACTCTAAACTTCCATGCACCTAGTAGTAGTCTCAAATTGTTCAATATAAAATATGACGAAGTTATAAAAAGAAACTGATAAACTCAGAATACTGCTAAGAAATTTTTAAATATCTTTCTCAAAAATTATAGATCTAGCTGATAAAAATGAGGAGAAATGTAGAAGCTTTGAATAGCCTGATTAACAGACTTGAGCTCTTGGTCATATATAGAATCCCAATCCAGTAATAATGGAGTAGTTTAATAGGCCAAATGATTAATATCATTCAGATGAACGTCTCTGATCACAATACAATATTTTCTAAGAAAATTAAGTTAGAAATTGGCTGAGTACAGTGGTTCACGCCTGTAATCCCAGCCCTTTGAGAGGCTGAGGTGGGTGGATCATTTGAGGTCAAGAGCTCAAGACAAGCCCAGCCAACATGGTGTAACCCCCGTCTCCACAAGGGAAAAAAAAAATTAGCCAGTCATGGTGGCACACATCTGTAATCCCAGCTACTCAGGAGGCTGAGTCAGGAGAATCACTTCAACCTGGGAGGCAGAGGTTGCAGTGAGCCAAGACTGCATCATAGCACTCTCCAGCCTGGGCTACAGAGTGAGACTCTGTCTCTAAATAAATAAATAAATAAATAAATAAATAAATAAATAAATAAAATAAAAAAGAAAAAAAAAGAAAAAAGAAAGAAAGAAAAGAAAAGAAAGAAAAAGAAACCAATTTGGAGAGGGAAAAGGAACACATCTTTCAAAACTAAAAACCATATATCTCATTGATTGATAATTAAAATATTATCTATCTGTCTACCTACCTCCTATCTATTTACCTACTATCTATCCATCTATCCATCCATCCTTCCACCCTTAATACCTGTGGGGTAAAGCTATAAAGGAATTTAACATATATCTCATTGATAATTAAACAAAGTAAAATATTATCAATCATCTATCATCTATCTATCCATCTACCTACCTATCTATCCATCCATCCACCTTCAATGCTTGTGGGGTAAAGTTACAAAGGAATTTAAAGAAAAATGAATAACTCTAAATGGAAATGATCAAAATTTAGCCAGAACAGTTAACTTTCTATAATTTCATGGCTAGGCCACGAGCGGTCCCCCACCCTACCCTACTGTAGACCTCTCCCTTGACCTGTCACGAGGGTAAGAATGTGACAGTGAAATGGCCCATTGAGATGACCTCTATTGGGAAGTTCTATCAGCTTATCAAAATTTCTGAAATATACCATAGATCTCAGAACAAATATGCATCGGCAACATCCTCAGAAATGAATGTATCCATCAGCAAATTCATAATGATAACTTTTTTCTTTTTCTCCTACGTTTAAGGTGTGACCCCTTGCCTCAAAATATAAGCTTCCCAGTGTGAAATGCTAATTTATCATCATGGATTAGCAGTAATTCAGAATTCCAATACATAGTGGTTCCAAAAACTACATTCAGAAAGAATAGTAACCCTTTAAGATGATGACCCTATATTTTTATTTAAATCTCCTGTCACTCTGCATTGTATAGAAAAATTCAAACCAGAACTCCACTCGGTGAAATTTACCAAAAGAATACTTTCCATGGAAGTAATTTTTCAATCTCACTTATAAGTACTATTTTTTAGTATTTATTTTGCCATAGCTTCTGAAAGTATGTTATCTTTTTGTCTGATAACTGATAAATGAATAGGAAACATACTAAGGTAAATTAAAGCCACCATAACAACTGACTGAGGATCCTAGCACACCATAGAGGAAGGGTTGCCCAAATCACACAGCCTGAAACTGGGACTAAGACCGCTAGAATAGCTACTCCTACTTTGATCACTTTATGAGAAGATGCACATTGATATAATTAGGTTTTAGCATAATTGCCTCTTTATAAATCATAGTTTTTCTTCCTCTTTTAGGCTCAGTCTTCCTTGTTCATGTGAACACACTTCACGTCACCCCTCTTCTCAAAAATCTCCATGGATTTCTATCTCAGAGTAAAAGTCAAAGGCTGAAAATGAGCCTGTCAATCCTCTGTCACCTGGTTCTTATGGCCTCTCTGAGCTCATCTGAATCCTCAGGGTCTGGAACAGAGACTGGCAGATAGAAGGCACTCTCTCAACATTCAATGATTGAAAGAAAAAACATGGAGGTTTATTTACTTCTACTTTTATTTTTATCCTAGTTTCATCCTTCTCTTGTTAGTGAAAACTAACAGCCTCCTAACGCTCTGTCCATCTCTTCACAGCCCCTCTCCTTCCAGCCCTCTAATGCAAATCTATCTATTTAATAATAATCAAAGATGACATTTTTGAGCCTATTCTGTACCAGGAAAATATTCAGTCACTTCTTATGTGCTTTTGAGGTAGATACTACTAGTATTTAAATTGTTTACATTAGGGAATCAAAGCTCACAGAGATGAAGCTAACTTGCACAAAGTCACAAAGCTCATAAATGGTGGAGCAAACTTGGGTTTGTTTGACTCTGGAGCCAGCATATGTCACCCTCAGTGTGATCCCATCCCACAGTAGGAGGCTACTGAGCCCTCTCTGGTAGTTACGACCTCCAGATTTTCCTCACCTCTTTATCCTGGACTCATACTCTATCTTCTGTTTGGTCATTTCCTGTTTCAGGCTGGAAACTAAACTGTGCAGTGCACTGTGGTTGCTGCTGCTGTTACCAACAAATGTCTCACTGTTGTCACTGCTGCTGGTGGCACGACTACTTCGACCTCCCACACTCCTATGGTCACTTTTGCTTTCATAGTCCCTGGGGTGGGAAAGGTCTTCCTGTGGGGGCCCATCCAAAACAGGGTCCTCAAAGTTCCCCCCATAAAAGTCTTGCTCTGGACAGGTGGTGGTGGAAGAGCGGCAGGAGTTGGAGTTCTCAGGGAGGGAGATTTCACAGGAGGAAGTGGACCAGGTGGCGCTGTCGATGCTCTGCTTGTCATCAAGGTTCATCATGGAGAACTGTTGATGGACGTTATCGTAGGTGGACAGTCTGTTGTGCTGGCCTGACTCTCCAGCTTGTTCTTTCTGCTTGTTATCCCTCAGGGTCACATAGCCATTTGGCAGCCAGCTCATGTTTCGTCCATTTGCAGGGTTCCCGTGTGTGTCGCTGTTCAAAATGCCCATGCGCACCGTTCCATTCTGTACACTGTGCGTGCCCATTTTGGTACCAGATCCCTTCAGTGAAGAGGTCCTTCTAGACTGTAGGCTTCCATTGGGGGTGGTTTGCGCTTTCTCAAGACCTTCTGCATTACTGCTGCTGAAGGACCCATTGGTAACTATCCCACTACCCTTATTAAAGGCTGGGTTCTTTTTGACCATGAGAGGGGGGCTTCTAGACACATCTAGCTTGTGAACGCTGTTCCTTGGGCTGTTGGTTTTGCTGCCTGATAGAGCTGTGGGGGATCCATTGTCCATGCTGCTTCTCTGGGGAGACTCAGACTTGTCCCAGGAGCACTGCCTACCAGGGCTGTTCTTGGTGTTATTGTTCTCCTTGTTCTGTAACTGCCCCATGGTGGCTTTCTTTTGAATTTCATTGTTGTTGTTGCTCACTCCATCTTGGGGTTTGCTTTGTAGTTCTGCATCTTTGGGAAAGAGGCAATCATGTTTGCTAATCATCATTGACATCAACTGCTGGACCACCACGGTGCCTAGAATTGCACAGAACATAAAGTAGCATGAGTGAGACAGTTTTTATTTATTTCTATTTCAATGTGACTCTTAAAGAAACATATTCAAGTGAAAATTCAGCAGTACCAAACCATATTTTTAACTATGATAACAGCAATAGAAGCTAAAAGAACTTGAGCATTTACTCTGTGCCATGAACTGTGTCAAGCACTTTGCTCTTGTAATTTAATTGAATTTTGAAACAAATCTATACATATATATTGTTATTATCACTGTATTATAAAGGTTCAGTAACTTGATTAAGGTTACATGTTAAGGACCAGACCCAGGGCTTGATCCCACAGTTAATCATTAAAAACCTGGGCTCTTAACCATAATACAATATTTATTACAAATTTGACATTTAATTCTGAGAAATATTTCTTAAGAGGAGGTCACTGTGACCTCTCAACTAATAATTGCCTCAAACTATCAAGATACTTTAGTGGTATCTGTAAATGGAACCCGATACAATCAGGGTGGATGCATGGTTTCTCTAATGTATCAAGATAATGAAATCCGTAAGACGTTTGTTTGCCATTCAAAAGCTTTAGGGCATTTTAAGTGACATCAGCCAGAATGGTGTAGTGAAGACCTCCAAAAATCCTCTTCACCATATAAGCAACTAGCAAAAATTTCCAGAATCAACTATTTTGGAATCCTGTAAATTAACTAATGGCTTGATGCAATCTGGAGAGTGTTTACTTAAGAAAAATGGCGGAATGTCAGTAAGAGCAGCAAGGTCTGTGGCATTTTAACTTGCTCTAATCTTATCCTCCTCTCCTTGAAAACCAACAGCCCACAATCACAAAGAAAACCAGCCATCTGGCAGCCACTGGAATGGGCAGAGCAGGGTTGGATTTTAGTTAGTAAATATAGTTTCTATATAAAATACTTAAAACTTGAGATTTGGTGAAGAAAATGATGAAAAAAGGCTTTTGACAATGCAGAATTTCATTAAAACAGCAGCTAATTGAGAGGTTGTCAGGGAGTAGAAACCTGACCTGGGGCAAGACCACTTTTTAGCTTCTGGTGACACCTGGGAAATATAATTCAAAATCAGATTTTGAATAGGAAAAATCATATTGTATTCATTTATATTCTACATACTTTTCCTGCGATGATTAAAAACTTATTAATATTTTAGACTGCATATCAGCAATAAGCAAGATCTACTGCTACATCAATGTTGTTCAGATTTTGAAGTTCATAAAAATTACCTGGAGATCCTGTTACAAGGAAGATTGAAATTCAGTAGGCATAGGGTGGAACATGAGATTTTGCATTATAAACCAGCTTCCAGATAACATCAGCAATAATAGAATAGTAGCGCTGGGATCATCTGGAAGCTTGAAAATTTCAGCACCCAATGCAGAGCTTCTGAATCAGAATCCTGAGGTGATTCCTGGGTGCATTACAGTTTGAGAAAACTGTAGTAGATGCAAATATTTCCCTTATATCTTCCAAATTAAATTTCTTGGAAGTCCGAAAGATAGGATTCATTTTTTTTTTTTTTTCCAGATGAGAAAATTGAGGGTCAGAGAGGTTAAGCTATTTGCTCAGGGCACAGAGACGATGTGATTAGGGTGAAATGTAATATTTAGTCTTTTTCCAAATTATGCATTCTAGTCATTTGTTCTAGTCATTTGTTCTAGTATATTTCAGCTGCTGCAATTTAAAACTGTAGCAGTAATAAGTAAACTTGGGATAGTTTTAAAGATAAAACTAGATAAAGATAAATATCTATTGAATTACCATCAATCATTACAGAATTGTGAAAAAAGACTGAAAGTAACAATTCGCTGTATTACACAGCCTTCTTTTCTCTTTTAGTAATCTATGAATTTGTCATCATATTTTCCATGCATGTTAGCCATGGATCTGATAAAAAGGATTTTAGAGCAGTTAGAATAACACTGTCAAACTTGTGTACTGTGCTTGAAGACATTGTGTATTCAATGCTATTTTACTATTTGCCCATATGCAGACACACTTTTAGAAGTTTGCAGTTTCCATTATATATGACCCTGTCTAGTATTTTGGGAAAATGGGCCTTTTTCCTATCATTGGAATGTTAACATTTGAAGTATCACTGCTTCCCGTCATAGCTATGAACTCTGTGGGGGCATGTAATTAATTGAAGAGCAACATCCCTAAGGCGTCCATGATGAGTCGGTGAACAGCCATGTCAAAGTGTACTTGCCATAATTATGGAGTATGAGTGTTAGGTCCCTAGATATTTAGAAGTCTCTTTTGTATCTTGGGAAGCTTTGATTCCATCTAGTCTCTGGTACAATAAATGGCCATAGCCCCTTGTAAAGGGACTTTCTTAGAATTTTTATAGCCATTCAGGACAGACTAACACGGTAGTAATGATGATATGTGTACCACTAAACACATTATCATTTTTTCCTTTTGATTTGCTGTCATTTTCTTCTTAGAATACCAGTGAGGAACATGAAGCCCAGACAATGAGGTCAGAGTGGTTATAATCACCAGCCCATTCTGAAGAGTCCAAGCAGATTCTGGAGTTCCACGGTGCTACACGATCCAGCAATTCTTCCCTGAACCATCTAATTTTATCCAGGTTGACTCTAAATACCACATAATTGGCACTTTTCATCATAAGCATTGGCTAAAAATTTGATTTTTCTTTTAAAAACCTAGGGACTTTAAATATAATATGTAAATGCAAAAATATATGCAAATGACAGTATTCTGTGCAATATAGTTTCAATTTGTATTTTTTGCAATGAATAACTTTGTACATGTGTCATTTTGCATGTTTGAAGATATCTGTAAGATACCTGATGATTTTTGACAAATGTATACACTCCTGAAAATACCACCTAATCATGATATAGAAAAGTGACACTTAAGCCTCTTTGGAGTCAGTTCCCTCCCCCTAACTCTGGCTCATAGCATCCTTTATACGCTTTCTGTCTCTATAGTTTTGCCTTTTTTACAATTTCTTATAAATGGAATAATACAGTATGTAGACTTTCATATCTAGGTATTTTCCACTTAGCATAATAATTTTGACATTTATTTGTGTTGTTACATGTAGCAGTTCGTTCTTTTTATTGTCAAATAGTATTACTTGCTGTAGATGTGCCACAATTTATCTATTCACTAGTTGATGGAGAATTGGTCTGTTTTCAGTTTGGGGCTAATATGAATAAAGTCGACATGAACATTTGACTCCAAGTCTTGGGTGAACATGTGTTTTCTTTTTCCTTGGGTAAACGTTTAGCACATGACTCTGCTGGGTTTTATGGTTACTGCATATTTAAGTTAATAAGAACCTACCTAATTCTTTTGTGAATTGGCTCTAACATTTTGTATTTCTACCAGCCAAACTTGGTATATTTTCAGTCTTAACTTTACACTTGGTAAGAAATGTGTAGAGACATCTTATTATGGTTTACATTTTAGTTTTTCTAATGACTAAAGACGCTGAGCATCCTTCTGTGTATTATTTGCTATTTGTATATCTTCTTTGATGATGTGTATATTTCAAATCTTTTGCCATTTTTTTTTCATTGAGTTGACTGTCTTGTTTTGCATGAGTTCTTTACATATTCTTAAAACAAGTTATTTATCAGATATGCGACTTGCAAATGTAGTCCCCACTTCCAAAAAGGCTTGACTTTTTGAAGAGCGTCAATGTTGACAAAGTCCAACTTACTAAATAATTTTTTTAAAAAATATTTTTATAGTTAGAGCCTTTTGTGTCCTAAGTGTTGACTAGCACAAGGTCATAAGATGTCTTTAAAAATATTTTCTTCTATATATCTTATACTTTTAACTCCTACATTAGGGTCTGTGATCCATTACAAGTTTTTTGTATGTGATGTGAGGTAAGGATTGAGGTAATTTATTTATATTTTTTAGGGCTATGAAATTGTTCCAGCATCATTTGGGGAAATGACCATCCCCTTTCCATTGAAATACCATGGTATATTGATCAAAAATCAAATGACTACACATATTTCTGGACTGTCTGTTCTATTTCATTGATCTGTGTGTCCATCTTTATATCAATACCATACTTTTAATTATGTGTGGCTTTATACTAAGTCTTGAAATCAAGTTGTGTATATTCAACTCTGTTATTTCCTTTCAAATTGTTTGGGCTATTCTAGATAGCTTTTACTTCCCTGTAAAACTTATAATCAGATTGTCAATCTCTACAAATAAAAATTCTGGTGGAATATTTTTGTGACAATTATATTGAAACTATAGGTCAATTTTGGAAAAATTAATAGCTTAATAATATTGAGTATTCTAATACATGAGCAGGGTATATTTCCCCATTTATGTAGTTCTTATTTGTTTGTTAATGTTTAGTAGTTTTCAGAGTGTGTCTTATACATGCTTTCTTAAATTTCTGCCTAAATATTTTAAATTTATGAGTGTTGTTCTAAATAATAATTTTTATTTCAATTTCTACTCGTCCAATGTAGTGTATAGAAATACATAAAGTTTTATAAATTGACTTTGCATTATGTGATCTTTACATATTTGCATATTAGTTATATTAGTTTTATTTGATGATTACATAGAATTTTCTACATAGAAGTTCATGTTGACTGTTCATGTTGACTGTTTTACATATTCCTTTCCAATTTTATACCTTTTATTTATTATTACTGGCTAAGATTTCCAGTACAATGGAAGTGGTGTGATAAGGTAAACTTACCTTAAACCTGATCTTAGAGGAAAAGTACTTGGTCTTTTATCATTAACTATGGTATTTTAACTACATTTTTCTGAGATAACCTTTGTTAATTTGAGAAACTTTAACATTTTTTTATCTGCATCCGTGATGTTTTTTTTGTATCTTAAAGTGGTGTATTAATACAATGAATTACATTGATTGATTTTATATGGCTAACCAACCTATCTTCCTGGAATAAACCCCACTGGTGCTGATTTATTATCCTTTTTATACGGTGAAGTCAATCCAGTAAGGTTTTGT